TACCAGCTCAAATCTTTTTTTATTCTTTTAAAATATTTCAGTCTGCAAAGTAGACTAGTCAAGACACTTTTAGATGTTCCAAGGGTGATGTTTGCTTAAGAACAAAGTTTGGTTTTAGGATTGTGCAGTACTTTTTATGCAGAAAGCAAAGATTCCAAAACTCAGAAAGGACCATTACAATTACATCATTAATACCTTGGCTGCTCACCTGGAAGTGCAAGGCTAGAATCTGTAGACTCTCAGAGATCTACCATAGCCCAACACCACACTCTTCCCCACAGGTATTGCTGCAGAGGCCGGCTAACACTCCCTCAGGAACCTCATCCCTTCCTGATCTCCCCAGACAACCAACTGGGTCTAAACATCCTACAAAGGGGGACCCTCATACCCTGCATAAAACGCAGAACTTGTCCAGCTTCCTTCTACTGCTTCATGAAGTAAAACATGTCCAGCTTCCTTGAAGCAATAGAAGGCCTACATATGTAAAAGTGGCCATAGATGAAGAGTTGTGTTCTAGGTTCACTTTCAAGGTTTCACCTGCTGGGCATTTTATTTCCATGCAGCAGTCACAATACATAACCTTAGATATAAAGAAACCCTAACAAAATCTGATCATCAGGTTTGTCCATTACCAGTCATCTAGTATTATAAAGGAGACTTGTGGACATAAATGTGACAATCCTAAAGAACCATTGTTCTCATGTGTATGTACATTATGTACATGACATACAGCACATTTGCTGACAAGGTCTATATGCACAGCTCCTTGTATGACCAACCTAAAGTGCTCCTTGTGTATAGACTGCCCTGGGAAGAGACAAAAGTCTCACAAAACACACATGCCCACTTACTCCATTATGCCAATTCCAACTGCAGCTACCAGCTGTGGCCCATCTGCTTTTGCCTTCAGGGCTGTACTATTGGCCGAAGAGGTTGTTCATCACAGTGATGTGCATAACTAGACATAAGCTATACACTATGCGAATTACAGGCGGTTCTTGATGAACCGGAAGAAAGTCGCACAGTAGGTGCCCCTGTTGGCAACTTTCCGCCCAGCATTCCTTGATCAGAATCGAAGGAGACGGCTGGTTAATAGTCAGCTGAACGGATCAAGCAACCAACCACAATTCTACGGCCGCTGCTAGAATGCAATGGCAACAGTGGGGGATTTTTCCATCCACGCTGTTCAGCATGGATGGAGGAATCAGTTATAATTTTTAGTTCAGCCTGTGGGTTGAACGAAGAAAAAAAAAAAAATTTGACAGTATACACCCAGCTTAAGGCTCCATTCACACATAGCGGTAGTGTTTTCCGCTTAGAATGAAACCACGCAAACGTTAACATACTTGCGGAATCCGCCCATGGACTATTGGCACTTGGACTATTTTGCGGGACGTGCGACAATAGTCTGAACAATGCAATGCATTGTTTTTTACGTAACCGCATATTCGTACGGCTGAAAACCGCTCGTGTGTGAATGGAGCCTTAGACCAAGCGTAAGTCAACTAGACCATGTGTTCATTTGCATAATAAAGAGCTGTAGGTTTCAGGGCGCAAAGAAGGGAGAGGTTCACTTCTTGGGAAATGATCTTATCAATGTGAGGTTGAGCTTTACAAACTTATTTTTTTTTTTATTATGTGTGAAGAAACTGTCTTCCTAAAGAGGGACCTGGAAAAAACCAGCTATACCCTAGAACCTGTTCAAAAGAGGAGCAGGTCTGTGCAGGAGAGCCCGTCCTTCCACCGGCAGCTACCCAAAAGAATGTATTAGTTACAATTATTTCACAAGAACTGGCCCAGACGGCCCAGCCTGGGGATGAAGGGCTACCTTTAAACAAAGATATGGCTCCGCAAAGTGATCCGCTAATCAATCTAATATGGGAACAGATTGTCCAAAGCCGTCCATGCCAAAAGGGGCCTATTTATTACAGTTTTTACAAAATTACAGTTACTGCCTGTAGCAACAAAATTAATGCTGGTCACCAAGGGAAGACCACACATCTCCTTCCTGTTTTTGAGGTTTTCTTTTACAAATAACCCCCTTATTCCCTAAACACCAAGGGTCAAGAGACACCAGTACTTGGAAACCACAGGTCTAGAAGAGGCAGAGTAGTGAACGTTGTCGGTCCAAGCTCCAAGTGCAGTGGTATCCTCCTCTGCAGCATTACCTTGTGCGCACTTTTAGCTAGCAACATGCCAGCACATAGCAGAGAAAAGGGAAGATTATATAAATATATATATACACACACACAAAATATATACGTGGTGTTCACTGGACCAAAACAGAAAGGAGAAGGGTAAGGGAAAGAGGAGGAAAAAAAGTCCTAGAATATTACAACCATCACTGCTGGGGAGAACAGCGCTACCAAACTGAACTCACCAGCAGTGAATGACTTAAGGAAAATATTTTTAAAAAAGGAGGAAAAATGTATATCATATATATATAAAAAAGAAAACTAAAAGAAAAAAGGTAAATTAAAAAAAAGGCAGAGCGTGCAATACAAACCAGGTCATGAGCAGCTTAGCTAATATTGGGATCAACTGCTGTGGAAGAGAAAGGCCAGATAGGGCCAAAGTTGTGTAAAGTTCTGTATACCATCTACACACAGACACACACAAACACAACACAGACCTACGACTGGGCAGAGATGTACATTGCTGCTCAGCTGGTTGCACAGACGTGGCAGGAAAAGTGACCATAGTAGGAGCTTTTCGGCTAATCCTCCCCACATTTTTTTTTTTATATGGACTGTGAGTAAGAACCTATCGGCGTAAACACTGGAGGTAGGAACAAGGCTTGGAAGAATACTATGGGACCAGGCATGGCACTGTGATGTGCTGCCACCCTGTTTCCTGAACCCTTCCCCTATAAGTTTATAGTATGGTTTGAAGTGGACCTGTCACTGTTAGGTTGCATAACAAGATGATAGAGAAGGGTAGAAACGTTTGTCTTCCATTCATAAAGGTTGAGTAATCTTCTGATCTAAAAGTTAAAAGTAAGCCGTTACTACTATGAAACAATTTAAGATGAACAGGCATGGACATAGCTCTAAAAATAAAGCTGGTGATAATTTTTCATCTACTTTGCCTACATCTACTTTTATGGTTCCACCTTCCGCTCCTTCATCAACAAGCTAACTAAAACATTTGATGTCACCATTGGATCTCTGTGCTTTGCTATGCAATGCAGACAGGTTAGGACTAGTGGGAGGGGCCATCAGGGTGCTGTACATTGCTTTCTGAAAACATTCCACCTCCCTGACTCAGTACTTCTCTCAAGAGCCCCCTTGCCCCGATACAAGAAGTGGATTTGCTTTAGGGAGAAGTTACAAACATCAAAATGCCTTGATGGGTGGTGGCAGTATGGAGGGGTGGCCGACTTGCTGGAGCTCCTCCTCCTAAGAAGCTCACAGTGTGCAGTGAAATCAGAGTAAGCAATACAGGAGAGGAGCCGGTACAACTAGGGCAGGCTGAAGGGCAGTCCTATGGATAGAACCCAAAGTCCTTTGCAAATGCAGACTGACTGAAAGTCAAACTGCATAAGATTTAAAGCTTTTCGTTCCCCCTCCACTGAGTCTCTTTAAGTCCTCAGCCTTCCGCGTGATGGGACTTTGGCCTGATGCTCTAAGACCTAAGACCCTGTGGATGGAGAGGACTGTGCCTTGGCTTTCCAACCCCATTTCCTCCCCATTCTTCTCGCAGTGGCCATTTTAACTAAGGGCAGATTAATATATCACGCTTTACTTCCTGGAACTCTGGCACAGTCCTGAGCCTTCCACGTGATGGGACTTTGGCCTGACGTTCTAAGACCTAAGGACTAAGGACTAAGACCCAGCAGATGGAGAGGATTGTGCATTTCCTTTCCAACCGCCCCCTCCTCAAGAAGTCACAGAATTTTGGCATATCAGCCTTCTCTTATGAACCCCAGCCATATAGCTAAATACAAAAACTAATATGCATATGTAGGAACTATTTAACTTCACTAAAAGATTTGAAAGTGATATATGTGCATAAATGTGGAATGTCCTTCTGGGCTGCCTTGCATGCAATGAGCGAATATCAACTAAATCTCACCCCCACGCAACAGAACTAATGCATCTTGTGGCCTGCAGATTGGCCCACCCAATGTGGAGAAGTCTTGGGTGGCCTTAACGGAGGATATATTGGCAGCTTAATCCTCAGTGTCTCAAAGAAACACAAGGAAAAAAACAAAACTGTATTGTTTATAAAGAGGGTGGGCACTGGGATGGAGACAAATATGGAGAGGTCTATCTTTCCACATCAGCTTTCGTTGCAACATTAGCACAGAAATAAATAGCAGGTCCACCTTCAAGTTTCCATAAAACTTAAAGAAAAATAAGTAAAAAGTGGATTCTAAGGCACTGCACACAGATGAATAAATCACCCTTGGTCACCGCCGTATTTAGGAGACTGCAAGTCCCAGCTGAGCTTCAATGTGCATTTCACTTAAAAGTGGACGTGTAACGATACACACCAAGCAGATGACCACTTGTAAGCTTAATGTTCTGCATTAGTCAAAACACCGACTCCTACAAAGCGTGCAGGATAAATACGGTTTAAACTTCCAAGATGGCCACCTCCCCTGTGTGTGGCTGGCACGTCCACTTTAAACAAAACAGGTGGATTGTTGCCAAAACTGGCTTTATAAAAAGACCACCTATTCTCTAGACTATGTGAATACAACGGAGTATGCTTCTATCCTCTCGTGCAAAGGGCCAGCCACATTGCCCCTTGACTTCCAAAGGCCCGCCAGATAGTGCACGGCCATTTTCAATAAGTAAATGTTGAAATACAGATTGCAAAGCAAAAGGAAACAAAAAGAAATGAAAATAAAATTGGAAAAAAAATAAAAAAAAACAACCACCAATGATTGCTTTAAGCTGGACTCCTACATCTTCTAAAGTCTGTCTCAGTGGGCAAGTAAACGAAAAGAAAAAAATACAAAGAAAATGAAGCCTGACTAAAATGCACCGTCTTACCGATTCAATGGGCTTGTCCAGAGAGGCCTGCTCAATCTCCAAGTGTCCATCCTCATACTGGTCAAAGTGGTTACCCTAAAGACACAAAGAACGCAGAGATTTAGTAACAAACTCCAGAGAATGAAGAATCATCTCATAAAAAATTATTCTGTATTTCCATCAGAGGAAGGATAAAAAGTAGGAACGATATTTACAGGACCAACTTAATGCAACAACGGTACAATTCCCTGACCAGATGCATTCGTTGGTACTATCTGCCACCATCACACTTGTATACTTTGAATGAACACTCTTGAATTGAGAACATGTTTGCTATGCCAGACCATTCACAAGTGTGGCAATCACCTTATGTTTGTGGGCAGCCTATTTACAGATGGATCCTTTGTCACAGTCACCAAGTTAAACCTCCAGACCACAGAGTGACAATACAGGAAGCTGTACAAGGACTTCAAGAACTCATGGTTGTAGCTATCTGGGAGCACATCTACTATTAAAGCCATTTAAAGCTGGTACTTGGGGTTCATACACCAAGGGATCATTCATGCTTTTGTGCCTACAATAACACGGGTTAGAACCTGTAATTTGAAGTGCAGCATCTATGTGTTTTGGGGTGCTGCCAATAATGCTTCCTGCACCTAAAAGGAAGGTCAGCACTTCTGATAAAGTGTTTCCACCTGAAATATCCTGTGTACCTTTTGCTCAATACAGCATTAAAATGCTACTATTGGTGGTCCTCCTTCGCCGCTCTTCGTGTGTACTGGGAGTGATGGACCCGGGAGGAACAAATACCGGCTGTATAAGGCCAAATTAACACTTAAGCCGTGTAGTGTCTTTGGTCATTTCTTTCAACGCTTGTGCAGCAGTTTTTGTGCACATTTCATGCTTTGGCATTTCTTTTTTAAATATTTCAGCCAATGAAAAGCTAGTTGCTAGGCAAGAAAATGTGCAAACAATGCAAGTTCAGTTGTATTCACACCCAAGAATCAGCGCAGCCATGCGATTTACAGGAGTCATTTACAGGCATTTGCACATGTTTTTATGGACTACCTGTAGTAGAGAAGCAGAATCGAGTGGTTTTGGCCCTCATAGGACTTAAATGGGAGCACCTGAAAAGTCCACACAAACACACTCATTTTTCAAAAGTTTTCCAGACACTCCCATTGAAGTCTATGGGGCCAAAATGATTGTTTTTGCCTGAAAAACACCTGTACTTTTTGGAGTGACGGACTTGCTACAGGTGCTGGAGCACTCAAGTGTGAACAGGTACCATAGAAGACATGTTGAAGATTTTGTAGCTTCGATTTATATAACACTCTGGTGTGAATGAGACCTAACGCACATTTTCCAGGCGTTCCCACTGAAGTCTATTGGGGTCAAAACATTCGACTCTGCCCCAGAAGAAACTCATGTACTGTTTTTAAACTACAGGCTTTTTGCTACAAGTGTCAAGACTCAGATGTGAACAGGGGGCATTGAAAACAATGGAATTCCTTCCGTTAAAGAGATGTATTTAGGCACCCAAGTTACAAAATGCAGTGCTGAATGAGGCCTTAGTGCAGGTCTGGACAAATCCCAGGAGCCATATAGCCACAGCTCCTAAAGAGGAACTTTACCCGTATGACAACAAAAACACGTTTAGAAAATGTTTAGTAATGGTAATCTACAAACACATACTTCTAGATAATTGTCGGCTTTTTATTATTTGCATAACTTATTTCTCTTTTCTTCCCCAGTCTTCTCGCAGTGGCCATTTTTACTCAGGGCAGATTAATTTATCTTCCTTTACTTCCTGCATTACTGGCACATGTGACTAGGACATGTGACCATGCACATCGTCTCAGGGGAGGAAAATGCCTTTCCCTGAGATCTCGCAAGATTACAAATGAGATTTCACAGCAAATCTCTGCCGATGTCACCTTCCCAGGATGCACAACTTGGGCACATTAAACCACTAATGTCCAAGAGGACCAGGAACTGCAAAAGCAATTGTAAATAAAAGAAAAATATGTTCGGTTAACTAATGAATGTAAGATGATTTCATATACGCATGCAGAGCTGTATGCTGATGCGATTTCTAGTGAAAGGGGGTTAAAGCTGGCGCCTAACTTTTTACATTTTTCTCTAGTTGCCGTCCATTGAGCTGGCCCTTAAAAATGTTCTGCTGCCTCCATAATAATCTGTAATGATTGGCTAGTACAGAATTGGAAAGCTTGGTTGTGGATTCATTTTATTCAGACCAGGAAAAGTTAAAATGTTGAGTGCATTCAGCTGTCGATATCTCGGCATCTATTGATTGTTTCGAACGTTTGCTCTCTTGCACTAAGATTTTTATTTTGGTTTTTTTTAACCTAAAATGATTTATACAATGGCAGAATGTGTCAGATTAGGTTATTCTAGATCTAGTCAGAATAGGTCAGCTGCATATGCAGCACAAATGACTGTCCTTCCTGATCAATATCCATTAGGATTATGAATAGGCCAGGTGTAGAACCTAGTGCTACAATGTCTATCTAGAATTCTTCCCCCCCGAGCTAAACATATTGGCTACCGAAATTTCATCATTGCTCTAAATGCACATTGCATCATCAACCTACTGCCTGCCACTCAGGCTATGAAAAGATAAATACCAGAGAGGGATTAGCTGCTCGTAGAAGTTCACCAAGCTGTACACTCACGAACGGCACTTCCTGATGGAAAACTGCTCCCATTCCTATCCTTTGCTGACTAGCACACTTTAAGACCCCACAAACGGGACGACTGCGAGGACACGGCAGCTGGCTCCATTTCCTGGGTACACATTGTGTTTGTGCATGACATGTGAACTCAGCCACCCACTCGGCAATTAAAACAACGAAGGCGTCTATTTTTCCAAGTTGTTCGGGATTGGCCTTTGCAGATGGCTTCAATGTGCGCGCAATCTGGGTTTTATTTTTGGGACCCGGAGATTTAAAGAAAACAGTCTTGCCATGCTTATCCTCGAGATGCAATAATTACTTTCTCAAACGCTCTTGATATTCCCTTCTGAAAGGGTTTTCTTTTACTGCTAGCGAAGATATTTAAAGACCTGCAAAATTAAATTGAAGTCAACCCCTGAAAGTGGTACTACTCATTTCTAGGAGGCTGCTGGCAAGCTAAACCACATGCAGGATTCTCATTTGCGAGGAAAAATGTTCTCACCTGTATTCCTAGTTCAGCTTTACATCTGTGTCCACCACAACTACAAATATTGGCATCAAGTTTCCGCAAGATACGTTAAAAAATATAACTGGGAGATGTAGCTTCAATAAATGAGCAAAGAAAGGTCCTCCAAGTAGGCATAAACTAGTCAGAAGTGAATGACATTTGGTGAGCATTTACAAATCAATTAAAAGGTGTGCTTTGCCCATGCAAGGCCCCAAAGCTTTCAATACTTCATTAGCTTTCATTCCCCACTGTTCTGTTTACATGGGAAAGCAATATATCCAGTCCTTCCAGGTATGGGGGAGGGTAAATGAAGTCTGCCCAGCTCTGTGTACTGTCCATGTCACAAGAGCTTCCTAAATGGGTAAAGCACAGGCTCACATTAGGGAGCTGTCAACCTTAACTGGACTACATTTCATTTTCCCAACCACTGTGTATCCAATAATCACCAAAGTTTGTAACAGTAGACCACGGCTGTACAATGTGTGCTGGCATGGCTGCTTGTAGACTTCACCTGGGATATGCGTGTGACAGCCCAACTGAGATACAGGTGTCACCCCATTGCAGGAAGTACTTGAATAAGAACCTTCTTGGAAAGACTGAAAACCTCTGGAAGTACAATTACAATTTAGAGCTTTAAAAGAATACTCTGGCCATGTTTCATGTTACACCCATATTTATTTAAGGTAGGGTCACATTTTACGCTACCCTCAACCGCCCCACCGCCACTCCTGAATAGTGGCATTCTTCTCCCTGTGTGTCCTGTATTTATTGTGTATTCAGCAGGGCACAGCCATGGCATCCATTCAGAAGAATCCCTGTATGGAAAAACTGCAAGTCCCATCTGTCACCACAGCAGAAGGACCCATAGACCGCAAATGGAGCCCCATTGATTACTTCCTGTACAATGGACAGGGTGTTATATATTGGCCAAGGAGCCTTGTAAGATAATGGAGAAGTGTCAAAGCCAAGTTGAGTAAATGTAGGAATTGGTCTAACCTGGGAACCAACGCACAATGCACAGGGTGGTCTATATTGGCCAAGGAGCCTTCTAAGATAATGGCGAAGTGTCAAAGCCATGTCAAAGCTTTTATTCCCCATATCGTGGGTAGTATGGAAGCCCCATCTGTTACCACAGCAGAGGGACCCATAGAAAGCAAATGGAGCCCAAATGCAGTTATGTAGTCCATTGATTACTTCCTGTAGCCCTATAACTGGAAGTCTGTACCTAACCTGCAGGAGACTAGACACTGCACCCACAATTCACTGATCGCGGTCACAATGCTTTGCAGACTCAATGCAAAAATTATTAAATGCACATTTTGTTTCCTTTCATGAATGTGTGTATTTTTTTTTTTTATTCCAAACGTGAACCTTGCCTTTAAAGCGGTTTTAAAGCACATTTAAGCACGTCTGGGATTGGTAAATGGAAGTCTTAATATGAATAAGCATTTAGCAAGTTTTAATGGTACTGAAACTTGCTGAAGCCTCCCAGATGCCCATTTAAAGCAACAGCCAGCACTCCCAGTAAGATCTGTACTCAATCACAGGCTGGAACTCAAAGATGCATCATCAAGGGGTTCAAGAATGCCAATTATTAATGAATAAATGTTCTGCAAACACTTGTTGGAGTCTATGTTCCTGAGAATTTAGGACTGGGTGAAGTTGGGTTTTAACAAAGTAAACATTTATGTAATATAACCAGAAGGTCTTTCCAAGTGCTATAAACGTGGCAAGATTAAATGGTAAATGAATAGTGTTCTGATCCCTGTCAAAAGCAAAAGGCAACAAGGAACTACCCAGAAATCATTCTCAGCAGTGCCAAAAAGTACCTGATCCCAATGCTGCAAAGACAGTGTGTGATGTGCATGTTCCTTCAAACAAAGGATCTGGTT